TGTTTTTTTTTATTTTTTTATTTTTTAATAAAAAATTGAAGAGAAAAAGAAAAGAAAAGAAAAGAGAACCAACTATTGATGATGAAAAAGTGAGAACCAACCACGTGAGTGCAAAAGGTGAAGATGGGTTTAAAAAATAAAAAAAAATTAGTGGATGATGGCATGCTATCAAATTGCAGATTTATGAGAACCAACCCACGTGGGTGGCGGTGGTTGGTTTTTTTTTTTTTTTTTTTTTTAATAAAATAAAATAAAATAATAAAATAAAGAAAGTTTCATAAAAGGGATGCACATGGTTCTGAGGTGGTTCATAATAAGAATAAGAATAAACGGAAGTGGGAATAAAAGGGAAATATCGTGGGGGGCATGTGGGGGCATATGGGTTGATAGAGAGAGAGAGAGAGAGAGAGACCAGAGAAGACTTCTTCTTCATCTCCTTTCCCATCTTCCTCCACCTTCAGATTGTCCTCAACTAAGCCATCCATTTCCCTCGTTCACAGCTCCTAATCGGAGGACCCTCTCAGACGAAGCTGAGACTCCCAAATGGAGACTGGAGTTGACGATGATTCCGGCGAGATTCTCCAAGACAAGTCCAGCAGAGGCGGCGAAGAAAGCAAGGACGTGGGGGATGAAATGCCTCTCATCGGCAGGTAGAGTTGCGGCCCGGTGTCGTTGATCTTGTGATAAATCGACCTCCTCGGCAGTCCAGAACGATGCTGCGGCCTTCTTGTACATCTCCCAGATTTGTGGGTACTGGATTGGAAATATACAGAAGCGATCTGGGTTGGCTTTGAATGTGATCTTCAACATCTACAACAACAAAAAAATACTAAATTCTTTTCCTTTTCCATGGCTTACTTCGACTCTATCTTTCGCTTGTGGATCTCTCATGATGTTGATCTCTTGGGCTACCAGACTAGCCGAAGCACCAAAGACTGATTTCGAGTTCTGGAAAACCCTCTTTCCTGTTGCTGTGGCGCATACAATTGGGCATGTGGCTGCGACAGTGAGTATTGCAGTGTCGCTTACTCACATCATCAAGAGTGGTGAGCCTGCTTTCAGTGTGTTGGTGTCGAGGTTTCTCTTGGGGGAGATTGTGCATCCAGAGGTACATGAAGACAGTGATGAGACCTAGGCCTCTCTGATTTCGATGTTGATGATTGGATCGGATCGGATCGGAATGAAAGATCAGACTTTAGGACAGAGAAGAGTGAAGGTATGTGTAGAAAATTTTAGTGGATTAGGTTGAGGTCCGGCGGGCGGCCAAGGTGAGGTTGCCGCCCGCCGGGAAGCGAAAATAGTAGGTTCTAAACCTGCTCTGATACCATGTAAAAAATAAACTGATGTATTATTGATTGATATCTTATTGTTGTTATTAGTACAAATGTGAGAGGCTCCTTATATAGGAGATATAGGTGTAGTAGGTGAAGTGGAGGTGGTAGTGGTGTAGGTGAAGTGGAGGTGGTAGTGGTGTAGTGGAGTAGGTGAGGTGAAGGTAAATTCTAACAAAGTGATCTCTCAAATTTTGATAATTTAATAGGCAAATTAGGTCATCAAGATAAGTTTAAATTATATGCTCTAAGCCACAATTTGATATTATCTACTAAAGGAAAACTCGATACCTATTTCATGGTCAAATCACAAAATCTCTTACCTTCCACTCAATTAGTTTGTTTATTTGACCAAATTTTGACCATCTATTCACTTTTCTCATGTAAATCAAACCATCAAAAGACAGCTTACACATAATGAAACCTAAGTCTCCATTTCTCTGTGAACCCTAACTCATCTTAATGTCAAGAGAACAAAAACTTCTAACAGACGAGTAGTGTTGAAAGAAGTACCTCATCAGGGATGACTCCTTTTCTTGTCATGTCACTATACACACTACAGGCAAACTCCCAATCAGCAGTCTGGCTGCAACTATTCACAGCAATGGTGTAGACCTCTGGAGTGCCCTTGATCTTATATTGATGAATCATATTGTATACTTCCCGTGCCCGATCAACCTAAAAGCAATCCTTCATAAGTTGTTGATTGAAATATGGTACGAACAAGATATAAGACTTGAAGTGATCATATAATAACAAAAAAGAAGACAGATGTCTCCGAGGGAAAAGTGGACAAATCTCACCTGGCCAGCATTTGCACATGCCTTTATCAAAGCACCAATCGTGATGTGATCAGGGTCTATAGGCTGTATCTCTGCTGTCATTTCAGCTAAGACATCAAATGCACGATCAACTGCACCTGATTGACCGCATGCTGTGATGAGTGCATTGAAAACAACTCGGTCTGGCTTCACATTCTACTGCACACAAGATGTGATCACAGTGAAGACTTATTTAAGATTCCAATGCAAAATTAAATGATGCAACCCACATTCATGTTTCCAACCAAAATTGGCAAGTAAAAGCAAGATTTAGAAGGTTGGAGTACATGAGTATAATACTGAAAAAAGAATACGAAGTCAGTTGCTAAAATCGTACCTTAGACCTCATTATGCCATAAGCACCAAATGCCTTGGCGACTTGCCCAGCTTTGGCACAACCATCTATAAGAGCCCCGTAAGTATGAACATTTGGTTCCACTTCAGCATTGACCATTTCATGAAAAACCTGCGGTGATAAGTTCAGAAGTTTCAAGAACATGACATGCCAAAACGACAAATGTCAAGATATTTTAGTTTTAGGCAATATCCAGGAAGTAAAAGATGTCACTACCGTCAGGCCATTATTTTTTATTTTTTTATTTTTGCAGAAAACAAAAACAACTTATGTTTCAACATTTAATTAACATTCAGACATTAAAAAAAGAAGAAACTCGTCACAATTAGGCACTTTAGACTCGTTAAGTAGAACATAGCCATCACTGCACGCGCAATCAAAGTAGAAATAAGTTTTTTCCCCCTACTTATTGGTACACCTGCTCAATTATCGGAGGCGTTGTGGTATGAGAAGATATGTTGAATGGTTCAATACATATGGCATTACTGATTCATCTGTTTTATGAGCATGGAAATAAAATAAAATTCTTTTCGCTTGCTTTCACAAATGGAAAATATGTTCTTCAGTAAAATTTCTTGCGTCTACATGAACCAAACGAGTTTTTTTTTTTTTTTTCGTTCTTTCTTGAGTTCTTTCTATTGAAGGATATTAAAGGAAGTTACTAAATCTTATATAAAAAGGAACAATAAAAATGATAGTCCCAAGTGAAGCCACCAGTTCAAATTATATTTAAACAAATAATATCAAATGCAACTTTCTCACTCTCTTTATTTATTTCTTTATTTTAATTTATGATCTACTTTAAGGGCACTCTTGAAAACCTAGTGGTAGATCCTTGATAACACGAGGTAAAAAATTATTATAATAAAAAGGTAGTGCGATACGAAAATTTCCTTAAACTGGCCCTCGGCCAACCCAATTCAAAACCAGGCTTGGCTCGATCTAAAGGGCAGTAAAAAGCAGGAGTAGTCAGGACAACCCAAATTACATTTCAGATTAACCTTTCATGCTGATCTCAGACCAGAAAAATTATACCCATTTTGGAATAATCTACACTAAATCTGTAGCTAATCACCTGATGTACTTAAAATTTATCACAAAAACCTAAGCATTTTGAGAGTATGATTCATTGATTGTTGGATTGTCTTTTGATATTCAATTCTGATTCTTCCAAGCAATAAAAGGTGGACTTTTTAATCTGTACAAAGCAGAATTTTCACCCTTGATGTACTGCATTTAGAACAGAACCCTCCAATAACAAAACAATATAACAACATGGGTGTGCTAACAAAAACTGCATAAGGTGACAAAAAAGGACACAGAAACTAGTCAGCAAACCTCATTGAAAAGTCCAAAGAATTTATAGATAGTAGAATGGATGTGGCCATACTTTGAACATGGCATCAACTTTTCCACTTTTTGCACAAGTTGATATCAGAGTTGTGTAAAGTTTACAATCAGCTATCAGACCAGCCTCCTGAACAAGTCGCATAACCTCAAAAGCTCCTGAATGTGCAATAAAAGCAATAGAAAATTTGAAGTATACCAATGTCTTATATAGAATTTTATAAGCTATCCATATAAGGCCTAATACACTGAAATTACACAATCATACCCTCTGAATCTCCAGAACTTGCACAGACAGACATTAGCATATTAAAAGTACTCGGAGTTGGATTTGGGATCATCTTAGTGAAACGAAAAGCTTCTTTAACAGCCCTTTTCCTTTGGCAGTTTTTGAAAAATCCCGTATGATAAATCTGAAATCAAATTATTCAATAGATTAGCAACAATGACATAGTAAGTCAAAATCACAACAACAGAGCATTCAGTAAAAGGTGAAAGGAGGCAGCCTTGCCTTGTCCATATCCAGCAAACCCTTTCTTTCCATATCTTCAAGCAATTCCAAGCAGTCAAGTAACCTGACAAGCCAACAAATTGTTCAAAGATAAGCTCTGAAAATATAGAAATTAAAAAGGAAAAATTCTAAAAGAAATGCTTTCAACATTGAACTTCTTTCAAATGTTATTCATTTCAAGTCAAAACTTGTGGTTCAAAAGCATCAATTTCTTCCATGAAATTTTATCAAGGTGACAAGCACATGTAGTTTTATATGTCAATGTGACAGAAAGTTACCTCCCATCTTTCAGCAAACGATTGTAAGCACTGATTTGCCGAGAAGGATAATGTTTGTCATTGACATGCGTGCCATTTGGTTGACAGGGCAGGGGAGAATATCTGTGGCCATCCTGAGGTAGAATTCTTCTCTCGTCTCTAGGGAAGCCCTTGCTTTTTCCTAAGTCTGTGCTTCTGCGGGGAGAGCTTTCTTTATAACATGCAAGAGGTTTTTTCCCTTCAATGCTCTCTGAAGAGACAAACTTATTTTCTGTAAAGTCGGAACAAAGAGACATTAAAAATTTGGAAACTTTTTCCAAGTAATATTAGTCAGAGCATTCAGAATACGGCAAGAAAGGATTATGCTCAACTACGACCAAAATTGAAGTATGATCAGATAACTATGTTTATATGTCAAAACCTGCGGTATGAATGAAGTCATGTGTTGACAATTTCACTCCAGTAGCCATAGATTTCCTCATTCGAGAAGAGAAACTATTGTTATCTCGAAGAGCGACATGAGTAGACAACATCTTTCGATCATTCAAGTTTGTCATAGATTTCGCTGCAGATTGATTTGTCTCATAAAATGTGTAAAGCCCTTCACGGCCAGATTCTCTGAAGATACCACCATAGCTAATGATTTCACCCACTTCACCAAGTTCACCAATTGGCCTTTTATGCTCATCCACCTCTGTATGCGTACAATTGACAAGACCAGTAGCCGCACTCAACTGGGTTTTAACAATTAGTGCAGGCAACTCAGATGCACACTCAGTTTCCTGAGCACATTTTTCAAACTGCAATTTAGGAATTTCTCTCATACAAGGAAATGGCCGTGCCACACCTGATTCAGAGAGCACAGGAAGTGGAAAAGATACACCTGTGACTTCAGACTCTCTTGAGGACATAGAATCACTAACACTAGAAGTAATAATATTAGAACCAGGAGACTCTAATGTGTTAGTTATGAGAGTTTCTTTAGACATCAAAGCAGTTTCCAGAAGTTGAGGCTGCACCAGTTCATCCTCATACTCGTGTCTGCTTTCCCTCACTTCCTTCACTGCATGTTTGCTTTCGTTGGCAGACATCAGTCTTTCAGGATCAAGAAAACCCAAAGTCTTATTCTTAATTAACTGATTCATGACAGCTCTGACTTGTTGAGAAATCTCCAGAAATAGCGGAGCTGATACCTGAAAGATTTACAGGAGTATTAGACAGTTCCTAGAATTTAATTTATCTGAGGCTGAACCCATCTAATTACCATTGAGTTTTATCCTCACATCAATCCTTGAAACCGGTAGTAAAAAAAAAATGTTTAATTTAACTAAGCATATAGCCTTTGACAATGCAAAATGGCGCAATAAAGGTTTCATGTATACAACGGTTTGATTTTGTTATCAATTCTTGAAACTTCAACAGATATTTGATTCAAGAAGCTTTCTGACTTTTTATTTGATCACCTAAAAGCTAGAAGGCTTCTAACTTTCAGATGATGTCAAAATTCTAAACTTATTGTAATGTTCCAACAAAAATATTTCAAATTTGGTATCTTTTCTTGACTCTTTCTTGTTGGGTGTGATTCACTATACAAGGTAGAAGCCTACTATTCAGATTTCAAATTCAATTTCCGACTCTTTCAATGATTCTCCCCTCCTGTGCCATTTTATAATTTATGGGACATATAGACAACAGAAGTAAGGCAACAACCGATAGCTAAGTTTTGCAGTCACATACTGCTTATGCACACACTTGTGTAATACAATGCAAAGTTGTTATGGTACATTACTGAGCCAAAGATAACTGGTATTAATATAAAAATTCAAACAAAACCATAACGCTATGTTTAGATCCTAGATTTATGGAGGAAAAGGAAAGGAAAAATATAGGATAAGAAATTAAATGAAAGAAACCAAATTTATGTATTTTTTTGTTCGCTAAATATGAGGGGGGGAATGAACATGTATTTTGTATAACATAAAAAAAGAGTAAATTTGCATTTTGCCCCCTAAACTTGAAAACTCAACCATTAACAACCTCAAAGTATTATTTTGTTACAATTAACCCCTTCTGTTGGGATACTGTTAGGGATTTATACAAAATCAAATCATATATAAAGCACATGACACTTTTTTTCTTTGATAAATAAAAGAGCACATGATACATTTATTAAATTTTTAGAATAATAATGCCCTTACCTGATCCTGTTTGAATTTTGTCACTAAGATAAGGGAGATAAAGTACAAATAGGACCACTAGATAATGCCCTTATCTGGGATCCTATTTGCAGTTTGTCACTAACACTCTGTTTGGATCGTGAGGTGAGGTGAGGTGAGGTGAGATGAGATGAGATGAGAAAAGAAATAATTGTGGTTTCTCACTTAGGTGAGAAAAGAAAAGAAATGATTATGGTTTCTCACCATTATGTTTAGATGAATAAAAGAGAAGAGAATGTGATTTCTCACGTATCCAAACAAAATAGAGTAAATAAGAGAAAAGAAAGGAAAGTGTTTTATTTCATTTTACCAAAATAACCTTCCATATTAATACGCTATGTTTTTTTAATTTTGGTATTTTAGAAAACTTTCATTAAACCCAATTCCTTTCTCACCAAATCTTACCACTTTTGGCGAAAAACAAAACACAAGTTTGGTGAGAGTCCTTTTCTCACCATCTCTCATCATTTCTCACCATTGCTTTAAACAAGGGAAGGGTTTCATATTCTCACCATTTCTTTTCTTTTCTCACCAAACCCCTCCATCCAAACAGAGTGTAAGATAGGAGAGATAAAGTACAAATGGGATCACTAGATAAATGTATTATTGTCCTAAAAAAATCAATAACGGGTATTATTGTCTTAAAAAATCAATAAGTGTCATGCTATGAAGTACGGATGCGGGTACGAATACTGGTACGGGTACGATATAAGTATGCCAATACGGCAAAATCTAAAAAAAAAAATGGGATACGGGTACAGCTGGTGCACGTCAATAAATTTTTTATTTTTTATAATTTATAGTGTGAGATCCAATCTACAAATCAAAGTTCAATACCAAAACTAAAAAGAGAAATTACAGAACCAAAAGAAAAATCATAATTCAACAATACCAATACTAAAGCAAAGTCTATAAGCTGTTTAATGCCATTAAATAGGAGAAATTATAAAATAAGGTTTCATTCCAAAAGCAAGCTAAGCAAAATTTAAAAACTTGAAGCTTTATTTTTCACTTCTATCAACTACATTATTGAATAATACATCTTTCATCTCTGGCACATCAAGTAAAAGATTTTGATTTGCAATTTCAAGTAAATAAGAACACTCTAATAAATTAAATGTATCCCCACCAATGTCTCATAGCTTGGTGTACTCTCGATGTACTCATGAAGTACCCATGGAGTACCAACTGCCAAAGAATATATAAAAAGTAACCAGTAAGTATTTGAGTACCCGGTATGCATGTAGCCATATCGGTACGGCTACCAGTTCCTGGTAAGTATCCAGTACGAGTATGGCAACATTTTCAGAGTACCCATGCTTCATAGGTGTCACGTGATTCACACATGACCTGATTCCATTTAAATCCCGCTATAGAATCCTAACAAAAGGTGTTAAGTGTAACAAGATAATAAGTTGAGGTGGTTAACGGTTGTGTTTTGAAGTTCAAAGGGTCAAAGTGCCAAAAAAAAAAAAAAAATCATCTTTTGGGTTCCCCGTGAAAATTAGTAATTTCAATTTTTTCCGTAACAAATGCAAAATTCCAAACATAACATAAAAGTTCACCAATCCCAGTTCACAACCAACATTGAAAATAAAAAATAATCTACAATTGAAAAGTGAAACAGCAGTAATGTCAGTTCCAATGAATTGCAAAATACGGATACAGAAACGAGTGTATATTGAATTACCCGAGTCTGTTTCTTCTTTCTCTTGGAGTAATTTACAAAGACGACAGCGAGGGCTGAAACGGTGACCAAAGCAACAACTATAAGAGTGGAATGCGAATCCAGAGAAGCTCTGAAGAGAAAGCGAGGGGATCGAATGTGGAGCCCTAGTTTCTTGCATTTCCTTCGGGAGGGAAGGCCTGGTGGCCTCAGTCCCAGAAATTGTCTGGGAAGGGATCGAAATCGAGAAGGACATAGCAAAGAAGAAGAAGAGCAATAGGATGAAGAAAGTGGTAAGAAAAGAGATTAGGGATAGACTGGAATTTCGCAGAGAGACTTGGGTCCATATAAGAGAGTGAAGAGGGGGTTTGTCGTTGAGTTGAGAGGATAGAGAAGATACAAGGTAGAGGTGGTTATGAAGTGGAGTGACTGAAGAAGCTATATGGTGGTTTCGCCAATCCGTTTGTTGCCCACGTGGCATCAATGCTGTTTGTTATAAAACTGTGGACATTTTTTTACAATATATATATATATATTAAAATAAAAATATATTATCAAATAGAGTTAATTATAAATATATACTGAGATTTATTTAAAATACAAATTATCTCATATGATTTGGTAAAGAAAAATACTTGACACAATTTATCACTTTTAAAAATCACCACTAATGTTGTATCCGACATGTATTAAATTTTGATTTGTCACAAATTCTATTATGTGTAATATGACATGTCACTTAGGCCCTGTTTGATTGGGGGATATAAAGATTGGGATTGGATATTATATCCGGTGGGGTCCATATATCCTATGTTTGCAATTTTTTTTTGAAGGGGATATAATATCCGGTGGGATTGTATATCCCCCAAAAGTGGAGGATATACAATACCAAACCCCCCCATTATATCATATCCCCTTGGTGGGGATATGATGTAAAAAGTCCAATTTACCCTTTTTTCTATCTAACATAATATAATTTAATATTTTTTTTTGAATTTAATATAATATAATTATTGAATTTAATTTAACATTATTGAATTTAATATAATATAAATATTATTGAATTTAATATAATATAATATAATATTATTTAATTTAATTTAATTTAATATAATATTATTGAATTTAATTTAATATAAATTTTGAATTTAATATAATATAATATTATTTAATTTAATTTAATTTAATATAATATTATTGAATTTAATTTAATATAAATTTTGAATTTAATATAATATAATATTATTTAATTTAATTTAATTTAATATAATATTATTGAATTTAATTTAATATAAATTTTGAATTTAATATAATATAATATTATTTAATTTAATTTAATATAATATAATATTATGAGGGCAATCTTGGAAATTACTTGTTATATCCCACAATATATTTTGTAAAACAAACATGCATAACATATATCCAATCTTATATATCAAGTCAACAAACATGACTTGGGGGATATACTATCCAATACTTATATCCTATTCATTATATATCCTGACTAAATCTCACATCATATTATATCTTCCATTTTATATCCAACGAAACAAACGGGGCCTCAAGAACAATAATTAGAGAGATGTAAAATTGCTGTTTTTAAAAATAACTTTCGTCCATTCAAGTTTATAATGGCATGACAAATTGTTACTTTTATTAATAAATTATTAAATTAATTAACAGTTTTTAATGATATTTTTAATTAAAAATTTAGATAATTTTATTATTGTATAAAAAATAGTTAGAAATTTTATTTATTTAGTTAAATTTAAAAAAAAAATAGATAAGTTTATAATTGTATAAAAAATAATTAGAAATTTTATTTATTTAGTTAAATTTATTAAACAATAAATTTAAAATTTTTAAAATTGTAAAAAATAATTAATATTTTAATTAAATTCAAAGAATATATTTATAATTTATCCTATTAAATAACACAATTTGGGCCATGCAAAGAATTTCAGAATACGATGATTTGGGGAACGGATGTAACATGAAAATGTAAACTTTCGTTATCTTAGGTTTGTTTGGACAGAATTTTTTTTTATATTTTTTAGTGTTTACTAAAATAAAAAATTGAAGTTAATAGAAAATATTTTTTACAATTAATGAAAAATAAATTTATTTGAGTAATAAATATTTTTTATTTTTAAAAGAGGGCAAATTACTTACACCTCCCTTGAGATTTAGCTAAATTACAGATTCTTCTTAAGGTTTCAAAAATTGCATCTCGCTCCTCAAAGTTTATATTCGTATAATAATTTAACCCCTATCGTTAACTAAACGTTAACAATGGTTAACTGACATCACCAAAATATAAATTCATGGACGATATTGGCCCTACTGAAATTCCTTTGATAAATCAACAAAATTTATAAAAAAAAAAATTACGTTAGATGGAAAAAAAAAAAAAAAAAAAAGTTTTCAGAACCATATTTGATTTGTTGTTTAAAAAAATATTCAGAATTTTAAAAAATAAAATAAAAACTAATTTAATAAAAATAAATATGAAAAAATATATTTAATTTGTAAAAATTATTTCTAACCACTCAAAAGATAAAATTATATAAAAATAATATTTATTTTTTTATTTTTTTAGTTCTTAACCAAATTAATTTTTAATTTTTTTAAAAAAAAATTAAAAAAAATTCTAAAAATCAAACCAAACATATTCTAAGAATTTTCTGACAAACCATTTCTTGTATTTTTAACTTATTTAATTATTAGTTAATTTCATGATATTTTCACCATCTGACACTACAATATATAAGAGTTTTAAAGAATAATTTTTTTTTATCTCTAAATGTGAAAATTTTGTTGTAAAAGACATTTAAGGACTAATTTCTATCGTCGTGAGGATAGTTGTTAAAAAGTCATCTTGAAAAGTCAAAAATAAGGCTTTTAGTAATAAAATTTTCAAAATGTCAATAATAAATAGACTTATAAGAACAAATAATTTAGTCTCAAAATGGTTTATTTTTTTAGACAAAAAATTTGATATAAAAAAGATAATAATTAATCACTGTTCAATTTCCGTTTCTAAAAATATAATGACACTTTTCGCAACAAAAATATTTAGTTTCCTAAAAATAATTGTATCTCTAAATTTTAGTCTCTAAAACTTTAATTTTTTGTGGTGTAATAAGTGTTTTTTCATTTTAATTTTACATTTCATAATTTATTTAAAAATGATAATTTAGCCAAACCTCAAAGAGAATCTGTAATTTAGCTAAATCTTAAGGAGGTGCAGGTAAAATTAAAATGACATTTTAGTCAATTTATGATATCCGTTAACGGCATTAATTGCGATGGGATAGGATGTAATTTTTAAAACCTTAGAGAAAAATCTGTAATTTCGTTAAACCTCAAGAAAAGTGTAGATAATTTTCCCTTTAGAAAACTGAAAATATTTTTTAAACTAAAATTTTATCAATATCAGTACATTGCCATTGTCTCTCCTACCTCTACTGTTACCACCACCTCCAAATGTCAAAAAATATTTCCTACCTAAACAAACGAATCATTCATAATAATAATAAAAAATAAAAAAAATTCAAACTTGAGAATAAACATTTCCTACCTAAACAAACGTATCATTCAAAAAAAAAAAAAAAAATCAAACTAGAGAATATCTTGAAAAGCGAGTAGTCTCTAAATAAATAAGTAAACTTTCTTGATTTGTCAATTGGTTCTTGGCAATAGCTAAAAAGTTAAAACCCCTAATTACATTACAAAAAATTATTTAATATTTTTAGAGTAAATTTAGGTGGTGCTTCAAATCAATAGTTATTGGTCTAAATCATATGATTGATCACTTTTGTATTAGAATTTTAAGAGACAAATGTTAAATGTCAATATGTAAATAGAATGAGCAATGCTCCTTGAGCATTGAATAATTTCTCATTACATCATTTTTTCTACTTCTTTATATGTCTTTTTACAAAAAAATCAAAAAATTAATAAAAATAATCAATTTCTAGGCGAACTCAGCTATTTTGAAAAGATATTTAAAAGTCATTTTTTAATTTTTTACTCATTTTAAACCACATCATATTACATATTTTACATGTATTTAAAAAAAAAAACACAAGAAAACAAAAAAAACCAACTTTCTAACTATATTTCCCTCAAACAACCAGTAGAGTGAGGTGTAGCAAAAGTAAATCACACACAAACTCGGGCAATCACTAACCACATCTACATCGTATGCGAGGTGTAGCAAAAGTAAATCACACACAAACTCGGGCAATCACTAACCACATCTACATCGTATGCTACAATCAATCTAATTTTTTATAGAAAAATAATCAATAAATTATATTTTACTCTTAACATTACTAATAATGGCCTCCCTCTTGGGTTTCTCCCTCTCATGTTGGCAAGCTCCGGTTTCTGGATTCTTCAAAATTAATTTCGTCGGAGCTCGCTTCAGAGAGAGTTGTGAAGTTGGTGTGGGTATTGTTATCAGGGACTTTCAAAGGCAGATTATTGCCTCCATGGCTGAGAAATTGATTGGGTTTGTGAAACAGAGCAAATAGTTGAGTCTTTTGCTCCGTTTTCTTTGGCTACTACTTGCTTTTGTTTTCTCCTGCTTGTTGTGACAGTCATCTATCTAAAAATAACAACAACAACAACAACAACAACAAAAATTGAAAATATGTTATGAAAAATAGGATTTAATTGTTCACATTGAAAGTTGATAGGACTTGAGAGTAATCCTATGAAGGACGGTTATTTCAAAAATATTGCCATATTTATATCGGGTACTTACCGGAAATGGGTACTCGTATCAATAAGGTTACATGTATACCGAGTACTCGAAATACGTACCGGTTTCTTTCTATACATTCTTTGACAATTATGTACACCGTGGGTACTTCATGGATACGGGATTGGTACCTCGAGAGTACACCAAGTTATGAGACATTAGTAGAGATACGTTTAATTTATTAGAAAGTTCTGATTTATTTGAAATTACAAATCTTTTATTTGATGTGTCAGAGATAAAAGATGTACTATTCAATGAGGAAATTGATGGAAGTGAAAACTAAAATTCAAATTTTCAAATTTCACCTAGATTGCTTTTGGAATGGAACTCTATTTTGTAATTTCTCCTATTTAATGACATTAAAATAGTTCATAGACTTTGCTTTAGTATTGATATTGTTAAACTTTGATTTGTAGATTGAATCCAAAATTATAAATTACAAAAAATAAAAAAATTTATTGACGTATCCCAGTCGTACCTGCATTCTATTTTTTCAGCTCTTGCTGTATTAGCGTACCCGTA